TGTTCGGTAATTTCTAAGTTCAGGTGATTTGATAATCAACGGTACATTTTCCGGGCACCGTAATCTATCATTGAGCCGGGGGCGGGACCTAATTTCGACGATCGGTCACGTGTAACCGTGATAACGTATACCGATTTCGGGGCTAACAATATAAATTTGTTTGTAGATCGTTAGGATGCGATATACTGTAGTTCGTCCAATAAAATAATGATTACATATAAATTTGAACTCTTAAGCATTGCAATTTATAAATTTGAACTCTCAAGTGATCCATTTCCGTCAGTATATCAATTCGTAAAAAATAAAATCTAGTGTAATGCTTACGTGTTTGTTTATCCCCGGTTTGGTTTAATATCATAAATCTTACAAAACTCATTAAAACTTTCTTGAATTTTCTCAATGTTTGTCTTTACAATGCATAAAGTTTTATAATTAATAGATATTCGTGATGACATTGAAAGGACATGTGACATTACTACCTCATCATTTGCGCGCACAAAAACACTCAGTACTACGTCTTCAAATTCTTCTGGAACAAGATAACTTAATTCTTCACGTGGGATCGGGGATGCTATAAACGAGTGTAAAATTTATATAAGATCAATTTGAATACAGTGGCTCCAAAAAGAATGCATCATATGATCATTTTTTATAATAAAATATAGTAAATATTGAAATTTTTATATAGAGTGAAAATTTCAATATTTATTATGCTTTATTATAAAAAATGATCATGCGATGCATTCTTTTTGGGAGCCCCTTTAGTTATATAAAATCAATTTTAATGATTAAATGATACAAACGTTCAGCAGTGCGTTCTTTCTTGTCATAGAATATGACATTTTCTACAGGATTATTATTACCTTTTCCATAATTTAATCCTAGCCGTTCGGTAATTAAGTCATCAATTATCTCAGCACTTAAGGAATTATCTTTACGAAAATGTTCGTCTAATTTTTCCTATAACGATAAAAAAAATAAATGAAAATAAAAAGGGAAATGATTCACATACATCGGTTTCGTGTAACACCATTTTTTAGCCAATAAAATTTGCTGCGCCTCCAAAATCTGGTGCTAGCACTGCAATTTCATTGGCCAAAAAAATTGATGTCCGTGATGTTACACGAAACCGATGTATGCAAACATTTCCCAAATAAAGATAAATAAAAAAAAATACAAAATTAAAACTAAAAAAATATATCATAGAATGGCTTATTTGTCTGTATTAGTCTTATAATACCTTTGTAACTATCTTTTTAACTCGTTTTGGGATGGAACATTCAGATACAAATTTGTATAAATCTCTTCGTCTAATTCGTTTGATAATATTTCTTGAAGCTTTTAAATCCTAAGCGAATCAATTATTGAAATATTCATGAATTTGAACACATCATTTTTATGCAGTATTATACAAATGGCTAGTTAATACCTCACAATCAGAATGTTCGATCGTACTCAAAATAGAATCATTCAGTTTGATATATTTTTTAGGATCATCAATTGCATCTTTAATTTTAAAGTATGGATCTGCTTCCACAAGTGCATCTGCTATCATATAATTAATTGCTCTGCCTATATTAAGATTAGTTAATCTTCTACCAACAGGATTAAGAAAAAATACTTGAAATAAACTTTATTCATGGATAACATACTAACGCGATGGTTATATACTTTCTTGTGCATTGAGTAACGCGTGTGGAACATTTCATAGATGTTAAAGCATTCCTTATGATTATAAGCGATACTATCACCTATAACGCAAGAGAACTGCATCAATCGTGAAGAGTCAAATAAAGATTTCATGCCCAAATTGTAACAATCTCGATTAAGATAGTCAAATTTGTCAACATCCACAGAATTATCTTCATTGTTGACTATATCAAATAGGTATTTATGCCTATCAGCAATTTTACTGATTTTAAGTAAAAATTATATGAATGTAAATATTGTAATAATATGCTACAGTTTATTATATAAACGGGTAGTTTCAAAAACAGTTAACCCACAATAAATATTTGACCTAAACTAGATAAATTTAGGGCTTGTTTAAAAGTAACGATAATGTTTAATTCAACTACCCCAGGATCGCCAACAAAATTTTGCAGTCACATGATGATCGACGACAAATTATCCAATTGTTAATCATGATTTGGTGTAACGTAACTCGATCAGGAAAGTTCAAAACAAACGTTCGTTTTGTCAAAAATCGCTTATTTCTTAAAAACCTGCATAAGAAATCACC